ACGACATTACAACGCTGCGTAGAATATCTCAGAGACTAAGAGTATTAAATGCAACGAGATTAACTATCAGGTTAGAGAAATCCGATCGGCGAGTTCGCTGAACGCCCTGAACTTTAATTTATGGATTTCAACTTTCTAGACAAACTGCAGTAACATTGATATTCGAGCGCCAATTAAAGCCCATACATAGAGTAGGTACAAATTTATGTTTTTTTTTTTTGGACACAGATTATAGTTTTATTTTTCTCTACTAATATCTATATTTATTCAATCTTCTATCATTTAATATATATGTTTTATTATATTTGTTAGTTTGGCTGTTATAAGTTTGTAAATTTTTAAAAGAAAGTTTAATAAGAAATACAAGATTTCTCTACATAGTATAAAACAAAGTCGTTTTCCCTCTGTCTGTACGCTTACATCTTTAAACTACGCAACGGATTAATTTTGATGCAGTCTTCATCAATAGACAGAACGATTCAAGAGGAAGGTTTGGGTATCTATACATATAATAAAAATGTAAATAGCAGATGTCTGTACATTTTATATTTTTGTAATAGAAGTGATTGATAGGTACTAAAAATAAGTAAATAAATACATTTATACCACTTTTAGATTTTTCTGTCTGTCTGTCTGTCTGTCTGTCTGTTTGTTTGTTAACGTATCACGTATAAAGTACTAATTTATATCATAAGAATAGTTAAGGAAATTATTAAGTGTATATTCAGGTTACATTTAGTCTTTATTTCATTAAAATTGGTTAATTCCATCAAAAGTTATGACAAATATTCTGAAGTATGGGTACTAAGTATAGGTACGAATTTGTTCAATAGTGGCGTTGGATGAGTCATCAAGTACATTTTAAAATTGATATCATATTATAATTCATAATTAGATGATATAAAATAATGTTCTATAATGATATAATTATATCTAAAACGCAGTAAACAAAAGTATTACATAAAGAACGTAATAAATATATACAAAATATATTAACCTTATTATCTAAACTAAATTAAAGTACAATAGTTAACCAATTTCATCGATAGATGGTGGTGTGGCAAAAATGTGATACAAAAGGCAGGTTAAAATTTTTGAAATTAAGTTCATTTAATCTTTGTTTTATTGAAATTGGTTAATTCTATCGAAAGTTATGATTATTATTTTGAAATGTAGGTTCGAATTTGTTTAATGGCGCCACAAAAACTCAGAAATAGTAATAAAAAGATTCGTGTGTAAAAAAAAACGTTCTATTATAATATATTTCGTATCGTTCTATTATAGTACTTAAAACACAGTAAAAAATATGTATTCCTTAAATTAAAAAAGAATGTTTTCTCACAAAGAACGTAATAGATGGCGTTGTACAAATTACAACCTTTTCTGAATTGCGGTGTTAAGATTTTTCACAGGTGAATCGTATTGAGACTCACTGAAAGGCTGACGAAGGGTGTAGGTTAGACAACACATCAAAAAATTATCAGAACGAAAAACCAGAAAAAAGAGATATTGAAATATTCAATTCAATTATTCAATTCGACTAAAAGTCGCAAAATTGCAATAAATGTCGTGATAGTGATATTGATTTATACCCACAATCCCTCTAATACCAAATAACTTTCCTTTCAGTTTTAAGTAAAGTAAAGTAAAGTAAAGTTGCAGCCTATTTACGTCCCACAGCTGGGCACAGGCCTCCTCTCATTTCTGAGATGGTTTTAGGGCAAGGAAATGCCCACCGCGCTGCCCCAATACGTGTTGGCGAATTTCACATGTCATCGAAATATTTTTTTTATTTCTCAGACATGCAGGTTTCCTTACGATGTTTTCCTTCACCGCCGAGCACGTGGTAAATGAGCACTTAAAATTGCAATTAACAATTTAATTGGTGCCGGCGGGGATCGAACCCGAGTTGCTCGAGTACTGTAAAGCTTACAGCGAGCGCTAACCATCTGAGCTACCACGGCTCAGGCTTCAGTTTCAAGATGGGGATAATAACATCAATGTTCGATGTTTAGGCTACTCAAAACATCGATGTTGACCATTATCGATGGTTTTTGTATATGTGTAGATACTTACACATTGTTTCAAAATTATGTGGGTATACACAGCATGGGAAAAGTAACAATTAACTTGAATATCAATTTACGTAGAATAGTTATTATGCGACAACCGACAACGACACTACAAAATAAAGCGAAAGCAGTGACCATTGTGACATTACAGGAGACACTTGACGATTAAGTTTGACTCACCATACTGACATTTTTTTAGGTTAACGATGCGTTCAGAAATTCTGAATTATACAAAATTTTTAATCTTCAGAGCAGATGCAATATTTAGTTATATTGATTTCGCGAGTTCTCATTGTTTGCAAGTTCCCAATTATCGATTATGGGTTCATTGACGTCGATGTTTCGATGTTTGACATATGTCAACATCGATGTTAAAACATCGAAGTTTTAATTTTTAACATCAATGATCATCTAACATCCCTATTTTCAGTGTGTTTCCCACTCAGCGTGTGTTATACGACGATCGTAAATAAAGCGCAAGGTCAAACTTTACGCGTTGCAGGAGTGGACCTCAGTACTGATTGTTTTGCACATGGCCAACTCTATGTTTGTTTTTCCCGCGTTAGTAGTCCCCGTAACCTTTTTCTGTACGCCCCGGCTAAGTCTACTTCTATCGTCGTTTACACAGAAGTTCTATCATAAACGACTTAGAACTTTGAGCATATCGATTTATTTTGTTACCACTTATTCATACAGTAATGATATAAATCGTTTAATATTCTCTTACCCTAAACGTCAAATTCTTTAAGTAAAACCTATATTCGCGAGCTACGCCGCGGGCACAGCTAGTATAAAATAAATGCGTATTATATATTATATAATTCTTCAGTCCGTGTGTATGTGATTGAACTCCTCCCAAACGGCTGGACCGATTTTGATGAAACTTTGTATGTGTGATTAAGTTGATAAGAGAATGGTTTAGATTCACAATTGGACAAAGTAGGTGACGGTTGATTTCCTAACCATTCTTAATCGACAACAACTCGAGATCAAGAAATAAACCGTGCGAAGCTGGGGCGGAGCAACAGTTAAATGTAAAAATACATTTATTATCTACTAAAAGCCTCATTAAAATAACAAATTCAAATATGTGAGTTTATTGCAAATGAAGTTTATGTATGTAATTATTTCGAGATTTTGCATATTCGAATTTAAAGTTATTTAACATAGTTTATGCATAACTGTCTATTTTTTATATTATGTGAAAATACAAAATTAATAATAGTTCAGAGTATTAACGACCGTAAACGTAAAACCATATTAAGTAATCTGTGGTAAAACGTACCGCATGCTACTTGTACGCTATAATTTTTAACCGACTTCAATAAAGGAGGTAGTTATCAATTCGACTGTATTTGTTTCTTTATGTGTGTTACCTCAGAACTTTTTTCTAGGTGAACCGATTTTGATGATTCTTTTTTTATTTCAACGCTGGTGGTTCTCATTTGGTGCCATATAAATTTGATCAAGATTTGACCAGTACTTTTTGAGTCATCCTTAATAATGCGTATTTGATTGACTTCGACTACATTGATAATGTTCTCATTTTATTTACTTATATTGAAGTCGATTGTACATTTTTTTTTAATTTTACTACTTATTGTAATAGACAAATTACTGCGGGTATAGTTATTTAATTTTACTTCCGAAACAAGCTCCTTTTTTCATATACCTTTCATCGGTAATATAGGCACTCGTATATTTAAATGTCGGTGCAGATAAAAGTGTTGGTGTTCAGATTTAACATTGGCTTATTGTCCCTCACCATTTCCTTTGTTAGCCCCTGAACATGGAACACTCACAAAGTAGAGAGATTTTGCTATGATCACACGCCATTTGCCATAATTGATGATGGTGACCACATTAGCATTACTCGACGTCTCTCCGTCTTTCCGTCAATGATGATCGATGACTTTCCGTCGCTGGACTGAATATTTTACATCTGGTATGAATACGAGCTGGTTACACTAGGTGCCATGATAGCTTAGTAGCTAGGCGTTCTCTGTAAATTTGGCAGCACGCGTGTAACCCGGGTTCCGAACCCAATCCCCAACCAATGAAATTATTAGTTGAAATTTTATGTGTTGATTTACCATAAACACATTTCACACCCACTGTATATTATGATTTTGATCTCAGCCTAATCACTGTACCGCCAATCAGTAATATGAATTAATCAATGGCGAATAAAAACATTGTGAGGAAACTTGCATGTAATAATAAAAATATTTTAAACACATAATGAAGTCCGCCAACACACACTGGAGCAGCGTCGCATACAAATTATTCCCTAATTACGTAGTATCTTTACTTTTTGCACCCTATATGACAATTCCAGCTAGTATCAAAGATCTTCCCTAAGACGTCTCCTACAGCATCCACCGTGGATGTCATGTGATAATTAATGTTATGTATTCTAATCTTTCTTATGCCGCCACCCCAAGGTAACAGCTACTGTCCCATAAAGCTATCTAATGTAATACATTTTAACCCCGTTATAATGCCATAAACTATAGAATTTATTCTGTGATAATTCCTTCCTATATACAATTTATAAACAAGAATTGTTTTTTATACACACTAATAATTGAAGCACTTTAGGAAGGGGTAAAATGCCAACTTGTTATAATAATATCTATTAATCGTTCTAAGGCTCGAGATTTCCATAATCATGATGCTTATTTTGTAAGTATTACTTTAAGAAAGTTGCAAAGGTCTATTCGATACTCCCTTTAAAGATATATTATAGTTGTTTCTTTAAGCAATATAATATGCAACACAATCACAATAGTCCATAAATATTGCGAGATTGCGAAAAAGAAAAGGAGAGAGATAAGAAAAGGGCGAAAATTAATAATTAAGAAATAATAATCCTTCCTTAAATTATACCCGAACCTTTACTACCTATATGAAAATGTTTTAACTTACCATTGCTGGTCTCTGGGCCCGACATGCTGATAGTGGTAACGGACACATGACCTCCCTCCACCTTTACCGCATCACTCTCGCTCGACATAGTTGTATTCATCACTTGAAAATTCACAACACTAACATAACCCACTATTATCGACAGTTCACAAACAATGTTTCACTTCCCTACACTATAAAGCACCATTCATAAAATGTCTGTTTTTTTTTTTAATTATCAAAACTTCTGTTTAAAAATTCTTCAAAAACTATTTATGGTGTATTGTTTTCGTAGAAAAATATCTCTATCTTCTTTAATCATCTTGCATCAATGATAGCTTTTAAGGCATCTGTGGGATTCAGTCTTGTGATATCCCGTCGTTGGAACGCAGCTTTCCATTGACATATTTCTTTTCCGTTGTCCAAAATATTGTCGGGTGTTTCTATTGTTTTTCTTAGATTTAAAATTAAGCACGTTTGTAAGCGATCAACAGATGAATCCAGCATCTTGTCAACCTGAAAATAAAAATACTTATATTAATTTATTGGAAATAATTCAATAATTAAATAGGTTATATTTTTATGTGATTTTAAATCACTTCGAAATATAAATGCGTACAGGCTAACTCGAGCTTCATATTTGGAATATAGTCGTCATTTCGAGACGACATTTGTGTACACGTACGAGCGACGACACACGTATGTATTGTATCGTCGCAACGCGGCCTTGCCGACCCGCCCAGTGCTGCGCGATAGCGTCGCTGTACTATCGATACGACCACTCGACCTCCGTGTCATTGGCACTTTGTTTACTGTGCGTTCAGCCTCGGGCGTGATAACATGAAACAACGTCAAAGGCCGTTAGTCAATGAATTAATCGTAGTAGGTAGTCTCTAGAATTGGCATTGTTAAAATAAGGATCATTTAGGGAGAACTACATTTTGGAAGATTAAACAGCAGTGCTTACTCGTAGTTGACCACAAACCATATGGATAAAAATTATACTTATTATGATTCTTCATTTTAGAATTCAAATTAATTTTATTTAATAGTTGCGTGAATAACACTTGTTATACTACAGTAAATGAGGCCCTGGGTTAGAATCCCTAGTCGGGCCAAGAATCAGTTATTGAGTTTTTCTATCAAGAAATGTTCAGTAGCAACCGGTGTACTGAAGTAGGCGATGTTTCACCTCCACGCCTCGGAAAACACGTAAAGCCGTTGGTCCTGCATTTGTTCCCTCTCAGTTTGTATCGAATTACCGTCGCAATGGACTATGAGAGTTAAGGAATAGAGACTTCACCTGTGCATACGCATACACTTCGGCACTATAATCCGGTCTTTCAAGTCTCCGTTGAGCCTGGCCATCGTGACCGGAATTCGTTCTGGAGGGCGGATTTAGATTAATATTTATTCTTCTTCAAAAACAATCCGTAAAAATCCACTCCTAAATATCGAACGATTGCGCCACCAGACCTCTCGCACCTTTGATGCTGGAGCTCTTCGCGGGTAATTTAAATCTGGCATAAGCGTGATGGTTATTCCGAAATATTTAAATATTCTTAAAAGCCTAAGAATATCCTCATAAAAAACTTGACTCATCAAACATCAGTATTTTAACAGCAAGAAATTGTTTATCTTGAAAGATAAATATCGATAACGCGTAAATCACTAGTAGAATTATTGAGTAGTGGGGGGCGTTGTGCGGCCTTCACGGAGCCGGTTGTAGCGACCGGCCCCGGTCGCGAGCATTTCGCCTTTCGCGCGCTGGACTGGTCCGCCGCTCCCAATACAACTCACTGACTAGCGGCCACATACTAAACATAGGTATCCAATAATGCGTTTGTGTGAATCGGAACGTCGCAAGACCAATGACACTCAATATCGTTCGAGTATCGCTCAAAGTGAACACTATATCACACGATTTATTGCTGTGTTGAGTTGATACTAAGTTGGCAAGCTAAATCAAGTTAGTATTATTATTTATTCTGTAACTAAAAATACAAAAAATGCCTGACTATCTAGTTGGTATAGTGGTCATAAGTGATACTGCTGATAATGGTCGATTCCCTGGTCGGACAAAACTCAGTGATTGAGTACTTCTGTCAAGAAATTCTCAGTAGCAGCCCGTAATCAAGGAGTTGGCATTATTTCATTTCACCTCCGTGGTTAGGAAAACTCGATGAGTCATTAGTCTTGCACCTAATGTTTTTCCAGTCGTTGCCATCTCATCAGACTATGAGAGTAAGAGAATAGAGAATGCACGTGTACTTGCGCAAAAATCCTATTCTGGATTAGTCAATGGCTTGTCTCCGTTAAGACTGGTCGCCGTGACCGAAATCCAGTCTGGAGGACATTATTATCATTATTCATAAACAATAAACAAGACAGTATTATAATGCGTGGAAACACTTGGCGAAAATATTGAATGAATATAAAAAAAGAAATAGATTTAAAGAAGCAAGCGTCTGGCAAACCAATTAGTGTTCAATAGAGTCCTTTGCACTCTGAGACATTGCTCGAATATCATTTGAGCGGAACGTCGTTGCCTTAGCAACACTTAATTGTCAATTACACATAACACTGCTTACATTACAATTGCATCATTATCGAAACCACTTACTGCATTGCTTCCATTATTCTGAGTTAGAAACCTTTGTATGCAGTGACTTCGAGTGCGTATATTATTTAAAAATTAAATAAATATACACCACGTAACTGATTTCAAATGTTATAAATCAACTTGTTGTAACAAAGGCGGTACCATTGAATATGTTTTATCTTTTTTAATCAACGGCGTTATCAATATGCGAGAACGGGACATCCACAAATAAGGTGTCCCAACAAAAGGAGTACTTTCGCACACAAGATGGCGTCATCGTGGCCTAGACAAGGCCGAACGGTTATTTATACGATACGTCAGACGAACGCCTTTGTCTGCGTCGTGTTTGTGTATATTACGAAATGGAAAAATTTTATATGATTTTTTTATCACTTCTAACGACAATATACAAATATCCTAATGATCTAACGAGAAGATATATTTCCAATAGGAATGACTTTGTAAATAAAATAAAAATTATGTTATTAAACATTTTAACTCATAAATTTATAATGAACTTAATACTACAAATTGTATAATGCTTAGGATTTAAGTTTATTAAGGCTTCTTTGAATCATTATTAATATTTTGTAATTTTCAATAATTTAAAAAAAAAATATTAGGTTTTATTCGGTTTTAACAGTAATTTTAAACATCACCAAATTTCAAAAATTACGTAGTCTATGTTTAAAATGTAATATTAGGTATATCTTTATTGGTAAGCATGGTATTTATAAGCTCGACTGTAAATGTCCTTGCGTCGTTCCGAGCTATCGATAGACCCAAGACGAGGCGTCGACCGATAATTATCTTAAGGTCGCAGCACTATCAACGTGACGTAAACATCGTGCCATGCCATGTTGTGATAATGCCTTCATTGTGAGGCAGGTGCATTCATTATTTGACAGCAAAATGCTTTCTTTTTAAGTTCATGTTGCAAATAGAAAATTCTTGTCAAATTCTTGTTTTTATTACAGGTCTGACTGACGTGACATCTGCTTTCAGTACGGTCTTTTTTAATATATCTCTATGTATATATACCTATATATTATGTGCATTTAAAGGGCGACGTTAATCTTAAATAATGATCTTGGAGCTGAGCTAAGTTGAGCTTTTGTTTTATAAGCTCGTGAATAGTTCACAATTAGACACGAGGCTTCTTCGCTTCTTTCTCAGTAAAGAGCATTCGTTGTCAAACCAATATCTGTTATGTGCAAAAAGTATACTTTTGAGATATTAAAGAAAAAAATTCTCCTGTAAAATTTAATATGAAGGTGAATTTAAAAACCATATCAAGTTAAAGTCATAGATGTCATACGTAATTTTAATTGAGTATTTAGATTATTTAGTTTATTTTATATTTTTAAATCACATAATTTTTTTTCACATAACAGATTTTAAATTGCCAATTATTTGGCACATAACAGGTATTAGTGAAAAAGATATCTGATTTACACTAGACTTTTAATACTGAAAAATATTAACAATAATTTTTAACCAGACTTCTTGGTCTATAAATGGTTTAACTCTTGTAATTGGTTGAACTTTGATTGAGTTATTTCTATTGACCTGCCATACAACGCCGAAGATTCAGGGTACTTTTGAGGAAGCTGCCTACGTTATGGCAAAATTGTGTACTCTTGTGGATGGTGAAGTTTGAAGTACACTTCACCAGTAGACTTATACAAAAATGCTCTGACATCATTCACAGTGGGATCACCCTACCTTTAACCTGATCGCATATACTGAAAATAGGTGTTGAAATGCTCATAATCCTTGAAAAATCAAAATGAACTACTCTAATATCAAAGGGTTGTTCGGGCCGGGCTTGACGCATTCTCGAATTGTAATCTTGAGGTGCATAAATATAAAGTTCTATAGTAGAGTGGACATTATCAACTTCCATCATAGTGTGTCCTTTTTCTAATATGATTTGTTCCACTTCTACCTTAAAAAAAAAGCATAATTACTTAATGCATTTGCCAAAATCTTATCTCTGTTTTGGAAGTTACACCCATCATTAATTATTGTCATGTGTTTATAGACATTGCAAACTGTTTTAAGGTATTCAGTTACAGAGCTTGTAAATTCGTTGGAGGTAACTCCTCCATTTGCTTCATGACAAAAATAAATAACGACATCTCCAGTACGCAAGTTATAAATCGTAAAATTATGACAATGTAGTTTGTGTTTATAATACAGTGCTCACTGCTCATTCAAGCAATTTTGGTGCTAAAAGAACACTTTGCATGTCAACAGATATTACTAGGTGGTGGATTACCCTTCAAGTTTTTTATTGCCTTGTTTTTAGCACAACGTGCTTTATCTTTTTTCTGGATATGTGTCTCATAATCCTCTTCCGAAATATGTTTTAACTGAAAATGCAGGCATCGTATTGGTCCTTCCTTGGTTTGTGAATTGAAATGTTCTCTTTACTAAGTACACTTAGGAAGGTATTTCGTGAAACTGGCTTTTTGTTTTGTTCATTACACCATGTTTTATAAACTGCGTGCATGTGC